AAAAAATACTGTTGAATGAAGTTGTTTGTGATGAGAGAGAGATTGGAAAAGTCTAGTGGAGAAGTTCTGAGCAGGTTTAGACTCAGTTGAGAGGAAGAACAATGCATGGCTGTCTTTAAATAATAACATTGTTTCAGAAGAGGTGGGGTGGGAACTACTAGCAAAAGGGAGATGTGAAAAGAACTTATTACTGAGCGTCCAGAACAAAAGGAAGAGTTGAAGTAGCCCAGTTTTCTGTCACATCACATTGCATTACTCAGTTTGATAGGATAATCAACTTTACAGAAAAACAGCAGAAATTCTTCCAAGCCAGATATTTATTCTTTGGAGAGCTCACATTTCATGACACAATTTTCAGAGACCTGACTCCTTGCTGTGCTAAAAGTTAATGTCCCAGGAGCAGTCATGGTTTCTGCCAGACTTGTATCAGCATATGGCTACTATTTCCTTTCTACTGGTATAGACATTTATTCCCTGGCTGCTGAAAGTTTTTGCTTTTCCACAAGACTGGTGTGATTCATAATGAAAATAGCTCCATCTTTGTTATGTATTTTCTAACTTTTTCTAACTTTGGGAGGAGGGCCAAGGCTTAGGGTTATCTCACTGTATTTTTGCAACACCCTTGTAAGAAGAGGAGGGTAGGCATGTTTTATCCCCATTTTCCAGATCAGGAGACTGAGGCACATAGTCATGAAATGACTTGTTTACAGTCCCAAAGCTAGTAAGTAGCAAACCCAATTCTGTCTGCTCCCAGTCCCACAATATCCCACAGCCTTCTTTGTTGGAGAAAGAGCATGGGTTCATCTCACAGCCCAGGGAATATAGAAATCAGGAAGAGAGTCAATGTCAGCAAAGCTGAATGGCATTGAGAGACTGAGGAGCGTAACTGACCAACAAGAGAAAGGGTTGGCATGTGTCTATTAGGAGATAACCTTTGACAGCCTGGCTGGAGGTCAGGTGGAGGGGCAGGAGCTAGATCAGGAAGAGCAGAGGAACAGTGAGTGGGAGGCGAAGGAAAACGTGAGATCATGAGTCCCAGATTCTCAGCCCAAATAGGCTGCATTTACAGAGTCAAGGCATCTGTGCCCCGAGTTGGTGGGATGGGCATAATTTTTGCCCTACTCAGGTGCCTTTGGTATTGCTTCTTTTAGTCCCAAGCTCATAATTTGGTGAGAAACTTATCGTCCCTTGTACCCTGCCCCTTCTGCCCCACTTCCCCATTCCATCCACTGAACCCTGTGCATATCTGCATGTGTGCAAAATGACCTGTGTCTCTGGCAGACTGTTTCACCCTGTATTTGATCAGCCCCCAGTCCTGACGCTGGGACAGTGCCTGCCCTGGGACATTTCTTGGTGCTTGTCCCAAACAATAGTTCTCATAGGAGAGGCAAACTGGAAAGATCTCCCTAGTGGACCAGAGATAGGCTCCTGTAGTATTTTTACTTAGGATAAAGCCACAGCTCTATTTCCATTATGGCCAGGTCTGGGAGGTGGGATACTGCAAAGTGCATGAACCTTGGAATAGACAGACCTGGATTTAAGTCCTGCTTGGGTCTGCCCTCACCAGATGTCCAGCTTCATATCTAGAGTGGGGATACCGATGCTTCTGTTACAGGGCTGTTGCAAGGAATACATGAAATAATGTATATAGATGATGCCTAGCACAAGGCTGGGCATATTTAATTTAAGGCCCTCATTATCCTCCCTATCCAGAATGAAGCTTGGAAGGAACTTCTGAGAGCACCTTAGATGGAAAAGTCTCAATCTTTTGGCAATCTTGTTAAGAATCTTAAAACTATGATAGGGATTATACTCTGAGTAACACTTTAATGTTAAAGAAGCAAATATCCTGTAAACTGGTGTCAGGGATTTCTTTTAAAATATCCAGCCCATTCAGAATATCTACACAGACAGACACAGTAAAGTTACAGTCATAGCTCTGTTATTGGATGGCAATCGATCCGTTAGTATCCAGAGTAATGATCCTGAGCCCCTGCAGCCCAGATGAGCTCAATTCCCTGAAGAGGCAGTGGAGGGGAAGCATTTACACAATTCCCAAAATGGCCTAATAGCAGAGGCCAAAACAAATGTTTCTCCCCCTTGATGACATATGAATTGCCCAGACACTTTCATTAACAAGACTCATTCCTTCTCTGCCATTTCCCCAGTCTTCTGACTGAATAATATTTTATAATTTTTACAGTTTTTTAATCCTTAAGGGCCCAGAGGTGCTGCCGTTTCAAGGCTGCCTATGAAATGAGCCCGATTTGTTAGCCTAGGGAAAGAGCTAGAGGGAATCGGGAGTGGGTGTCTTGGGATAATTTAACTCGGGACTTTGATAGTTGAACTTGTGCCCAGTCTCTCCGCTGCAAGTGTCTCTGACTGGCAATTGTGTCAACAGGTGAAAAGCCCTTCAGCTGTCGGTGGCCCAGTTGTCAGAAAAAGTTTGCCCGGTCAGACGAACTAGTCCGCCATCACAACATGCACCAGAGAAACATGACCAAACTCCAGCTGGCGCTTTGAGGGGTCCGACCCGGGGACAGTTCTGTGGCCCAGGCAGGACAGTGTGTGAACTGCTTTCCAATCTGACTTTAAAGTTCCTCCACACTCACCTCTCTAAGAAGGAGATGGCAGGTGATCTTCATCCAGCTTCCAAGACAAGATGCCTGTACCACTGGATCCTACCAGGTTTGCCCGGAGGAGTTGGGCTCTGCTTTGCCTGCTTTTAGTCAGCTCGAAGGCCCTGGAGAAGTGGCCAACAATGTCCAGTTAGTTAAAAGCCCATCTCTGCCATTTGGTCTGGATTTTCACTGTAAGAAGAGCCATTGTTGATAATGTCCCCCTGCCCTCTTCTCCTTTTACGCTCTTTTCACTAGGAATGGAGTCATTGTACCATTTTCCATCATAGAATATTTATAGGCCAGGGCATGTGTATGTGTCTGCTAATGTAAACTTTGTCATGGTTTCCATTTACTAACAGCAAGAAATAAATCAGAGAGCAAGGCACTGGGGGTGAGTCCCGTCCGACATTCCGGAGGTTAGGCAGGCCACTAACCTGGAAGGCAGGATGTAGGACTACCATGCAACTTTAAAAATTTCGTGTGTTTCAAGCAGCTGAAAAAAAGAATCCGAACTAACCAGTACCTCTGTAGAGAAACCTAAAAGAATTTTTCCATTCAGTTAATACAATGTTAACATTAGCACAATGCTGTTAAGAGACTGTGCTTGAAGATCTGAGATTTTGGTTTTGTTTATTTTTGACTTTTTTGAGCGGTAATCCTATGCATCTTCAGAGATGTACATATTTCCTCACACAAAAAAAGTGGAATTCATTATTATCATTTGGGGTGTCCTTTGAGTGTACCGACCACGCTGGTTATGTGGCTTCAAGTTGTAAAAATTAAAGGGACTCTGAAAGAAAATAGGGCTGGTCCAGGATCTCCACTGATAACTTTGAGTCTACCAGTGTATGTGTAAAAATGAGACTGGTGTGAGGAAATCCATTGTTTAAAGGTGGTTGGGTGTGTGTATGTGTGCGTGTGTGTGTGTGTGCAAACGAGGGTGTTTGTTATTTACTGTTGCTTGAACTTATTGTGTAAATAAAAATACTGATAATGATTTGCTCTTTGACAACTGAAGTTAGGAAATGTATAAATGTTAGATGCATCACTGTTTTGGTGTTGATCTTACAACGTATCAATGATAACACTAAAAATGTAACCTGCATTTTTCACTTCGCTCTCAATTAATTAAAGTCTATTCGAAAGGAAAGTGGCAAGATTGTATCGGCTGTATTGTGTTCAAATCTTAAGGACAGTTGAGACGGTCTTAAACAGGTAAGAAGATGCTACTGACATGGACAATCACGAGCACTAGTGTAGTCTATCCTGGTCCTGATTATTATCTGTTTCTCTCTGTCAAACCTCAGGAGGCAATTATCCATTCTGGAAGCAGCCAGCACCATAAAGTGATCATGCTCAAGCTGCAGTCAGATAGGTTTGTGGATGGCATGGTCGGAAGTGTGTTTGAGGGTTTATTTTAATCAGGCTATTATTATATCACTTTTTATTCCAAGTCAGCAAAAGAGAAGAGGGATGCTACTGATAACTGGCCTCTTCTGGAAAGTTCACTTTCAAGAATTTTCCAGGACTTTCTGGTATATACTGCAACCAGGAGGCTATAGGTTGGACACCTAGCACAACGGAGTTTCCAGCTGTAGTTGCCATAAATTAGCTCAGCAGGTTGAAAACTGCTTAGACTTTCCAGGGCAGCCAAGTGTAAAAGCACATTATACATTATACATTATCTATAAACTCCCTTTCTGGTTCTAGTGTACGGTTTTTCAGTTGTAAATAAGGAGATTAATTTGGCTCTGCCCCTCTCAGCTCCATTAGCTTGGAGTTTGCATGCATCCAGGTTTCATTTCTTCATTTAAAATGTATCTTGAGCAGACAGCAGCTGAGCCATGAAGACTTTTCAGCAGCTCAAAGCTTGGGCCGCCTAAAAGTCAGGTCCTGAGGCCCCTCTACGTTTGCATCTGGCTCTTGCATCACTGTTAATTATAGCGAGTATGGTGACTCATTTGTATCAGCCGTTTTTATCTTTTCCTGCCAGAAGACAGCATTTCTCTGGAGAAGCTCAGGACAAGCATGGCAAACGTCAGCAACTCAGAGCGAGCCAGGTTTCACAACAAAAGCAAAGCCACATTGTTTCAACTGCAGGAGGAAGACCAGAGATTCTCACACTGCCCTAGTGGTTTAGCTTGCAGTTAAGGTCATGGGCTTTGGAAAGCTGGGAAAGCTTTCCTCATCTGTAAGATGGGGGCAAAAGATTCCCCTGCCTGATAGGATTGTTGTGAAGATGAAATTTAAAAAAGTAGAAGAAGGGCACCTGGGTGTCTCATTGGGTTGGGCATCCGACTCTTGATTTTGGCTCAGGTCATGATTTCACAGTGTGTGAGACTGAGCCCTGAGTTGGGCTCTGTACCGACAGTGTGGAGCCTGCTTGGGATTCTCTCTGTCCTCTCTCTGCCCCTACCCCACTTGTGCGCTTACACTCTCTCAAAATAAATAAATAAATAAATAAATATTTTTTTAAAAAAACAGAAAGAAAAGAAAACATCTACAATATAGCAAAGTCTTAATAAGCATTACCTAGGAAAACTATTACCCAAGCACTCACCTGCTAATTTCCTTTACCTCCCCCTACCCAGGCCATCCTCTCACACTATCCAGCCATCTTCACAGCTCTGCAAAATGATGAATTCATTTTCATAGACTCCCAACCAGGGTTAAGATTTGCAGCAATAGGGCTCTTGCCAGCATCCCCACAGAGACATCTAGCTTTGTGTCTTTTGCAAAGCACTGGGTGGCCCTGACTTTGTGCTTCTGAGAGCCACGGAGTTGACCGTCAGTCAACTGTGAGGATGAAAGCTGGTGAAAGTTGGTCAGTGGGAGCTCTCTGTGGCTCCGGCTAGAGGCTCTGTTAGGTGCACTTGTCACAACGTGCATTTTTCCATCTTGCGTTACTGTAGTGTCTAGTTCAGTATGTGGTTCAGTGTCTTAAAGGCCCCCTTCCTCTTTGCCAGATCTTCCCAGACTGTTCCAGACATCTTTAGCGCTCTCATCTCTGAACTTGTGTAGCACTCTAAGAATGGAACATTAAATAGTACCTTATGTGGGTGTAGCACTTTCCCACCTGGGACAATCTGTAAGGTAGACGGGGCAAGTATTATTGCCACTTAACGGGCGAGGAAGCTGAGGCTTGGTGACAGCAAGTGGCTGAGGCAGGACTTGATGTTTTATGTCCACCAAATCACGCTTGATGATGTTGACTTGCACTCTGCTGCATTATTTCCTATCTATAAATCCTATCTTCCCAGAGTGTGAACTTCTGGAGGAAAAAATCTCCCCTTCCATGTTACTTAATAAAGGCCTTCGCAGCCTTAAGTGACCACACGTGTTACCTGCAGAGTTGCTAAAGGGCACGCTGAGATTTGGAAGGAATCGGAGGGCCTGAGAGTCTTCATTTCTCCCAAGCTCCCAGCTGGGCTGTGGGCCGCCCTTTATGTAGCAAGGACCTAAAGAGTGGGCTCCATGAATACTTGCTGAACGGTGACTGATGAGATTTGCACCTGCCAGTCGTGGGACCACACTGAGCCTTTCCAGCCCTGAGAGAGCAGGCAGGGAAGATGGCCCAGGGCTGTGCTGCGGTGGCCCATGGGGCTGAGGGCGGGGGCGTTCATCCTGAACGTGGCCAGAAGAACTGCATGTGTTAGCCCTGGTGAATCCATTCACGGAGAAGCTTGTTTTCTAACACAGCCTCCCCATCTTTTGTTGGTGGCCTCCCACAAGCAGGGAGGCCACCCTCAGCGAGGTGACGTGTGCCCCGTGGTCACACCTGCACATCCAGCCCTTTTACTTTGCTCAGTCCCCATCCCATCAGCAGGCCTCGACCTCCCTGACACTTGTAAACTGGAATTCTGTGGCTTTGGAGAGGCCAGCCTCGCTGGCAGGCAGGAATTCCCCATGTCCTGCTCCTACCAGGAACTGCTTGTTTAGCATCTTGGGTACCAACAAGCAAAGGCAGTGGCTTCTAGAACCCTATTTCCCTGCAGGACATTTGCACTTCTGGTCTTGGACCAATAGGTGTGTCAGGGAGAGGTGTGTGTGTGAGGGGAACAGTGGTTCTCAACTGGGGGCGTTTTTCTTCAAAGCTTCACAGCAGACGGGGTGGCTTCTAAGAATTTCTCACAGGTAGGGGCACCTGGGTGGCTCAGTTGGTTAGGTGTCCAACTTCGGTTCAGGTCATGATCTTATGGGTTCATGAGTTTGAGCCCCGCAACCGGCTCTGGTCTGGCACTGTGGAGCCTGCTTCAGCTTCTCTGTCTCCCAATCTCTCTGCCCCTCCCCCACCCCGCGCCAAAAAGAAATAAACATTAAGAAAAAGAATTTCTCACAGGTAAGTGCATAAAGGAAAGTAAGCTTCTCCAGTAAAGCAGACAAATCCCTAAGAAAATATAAAGGTGTTGGTCCTTTTCATTTAGGTCTTTGCTTCTAAAGAGTATTTTATATATTGGGTGATTGAAGTCTGTATAAAGCTTAATAAATACATTTTTTTTTCAACGTTTATTTATTTTTGGGACAGAGAGAGACAGAGCATGAACGGGGGAGGGGCAGAGAGAGAGGGAGACACAGAATCGGAAACAGGCTCCAGGCTCTGAGCCATCAGCCCAGAGCCCGACGCGGGGCTCGAACTCACGGACCGCGAGATCGTGACCTGGCTGAAGTCGGACGCTCAACCGACTGCACCACCCAGGCGCCCCAATAAATACATTTTTTTAATGTTTATTTATTTTTGACAGAGAGACAGAGCATGAGTGGGGGAGGGGCAGAGAGAGAGGGAGACACAGAATCCAAAGCAGGCTCCAGGCTCCGAGCTATCAGCACGGAACCCGGTGCGGGGCTCAAACTCACAAACCAAGAGATCATGCCCTGAGCCGAAGTCGGACGCTCAACCGACTG